CCCTACTTACAACAGTAGGACAAAAGCAACATACTTTTTCCCATCTTTTTCTTCTCCATATAATCCAGCAGTTAAGGTGATTTTTATCTGGTACAATTCCAAAATAAAGCATCAGTTTGACAGCATGTTTAAACAAAAAGACAAAAGTACATTAGCCTGGCATATCTGCAAAAACAAGCCATAAGTCATGATCTGATACAAATGCAAGTTGCTCTGACCAAATCAGGTCATAGCGATACTAAACAGTGACCAAATCAAAACATTATCTGTCAAACACACACGACTAAATAAAAGCAGTTGACACAGTATGATGGTGCACATAGGAGCCAGGCACCAAAACATCAGACCCAATTTCAGGGACTACTTACTGAAATAGTCCCTTTTTTAAACACTTGATGATTCGTTGAAGGAATAATGCATTGTAGTCTACCATTTTAGTTTTAAAAGAAATACAGTACAACCTGGATAGGAGCTGTTAAATGAGGACTATTTACAGCATTATGAGTCATATACCGACTGTTACAAATGACCCCTGACACATACTTGAAGACAGCAGTGCAAAAAAGATTAAAAGCTGTAAAAAACAAACAAAACAATATAATCACAACAGCTGGCGCAGTATTATAGCACAGATACAAGCTCAAGTTCAGAGATCAGATTAAATGTGTTAAGCAAATTATTGAATACCAAATTACTCACACTTTATTAATAATAATAATAATTTTAACTTTATTTCTCTCACAATGGAGAACTTATCCTCTACATTTAACCCATCCTTTAGGAGCAGTGGACTGCCATTGTGCGGCGCAGTCAAGGCAGTAATGAAGTTCATCATCCTTTTGTTAGGTTATCAGCCAAGCTGAAGCTTCCATAAAAACTAGCAGTTTCGATGGCAATGAGTTGAAATCTCTCGCCCAGGATAACATCACTCTAAAAGTATGGTTTGATAAACGTCTTTCCCCTTACTTTATGCCCACTCTTTTATCGAGAGCAGTTTTCCTTTACAAACATGTGCGTTAAGCACCAAGAGAAACTGAGCTTCCAGCAAAGTTTATGCAGATTAGCACTGATTACTTTAGAAATGTATACCTGATAGTGGCTATGTTGTCATTGTAGACATCACCATGGATCAATGCATGATACACTGAATATATATATATATATATATATATAATATAAAAACTGGATATAAACTCTGTTGATATCCAGCCAAAATTTGTAGATTGATAAATCTGTGCATTTCCACCATCCACTGGAGTATATATACAGTGTAAAACTGGTGAACTCTGGTGTAGCACAAGCAAAGCAAAATATACCTTTCCTTGGTGAGGTGTGCATGCACCTCACCTAAGTGCAGATTTAATAGGAGAAGCCCAGTGCATTAGGTCCTTTAGCAGCCTAGGCCTATTACAGCATAACTAAAGAAAACTTCCAAGTGAAAGCTTTGTGTTAAGCCTAGTCTTGACAGTGTGCGTAGACTCTCACTGAAGGCATCAAAACTGTGAAAAAACACATATGTAGCAAACTAAAAATGGTAAAAGACAGTTAATTATGTTTTATATTTTAGATTCCTTAAAGTAGCCACCCTTTGCTGTGATGACTGAAATATTAACCTTAGACCATCTGTCAATGAACCTCTGGGATGTTCTTTCAAGACAAGGAAACCATTTCAGGTGACCACCTCATAAAGCTCATGGAGAGAATGCCAAGAGAGCAAAGCAGCAATCAGAGCAAAGGGTGGCTTTTGTGTAGAACCTAAAATATAAAAGTGTTTAGAGTTATTTCACCCTTTTTGTTTTCTACATAATTCCATGTGTGTTCGTTCAGTTTTGTTTACTTTGGTGAGAATCTATTAAGTAAATAGTCATGAACATAAAGAGACCCATTAAGTAAGAAAGTGTACCTAAAACTTTTGACCGGTAGTTTATGTTTACCTATGTGTGGAGATCATGTAGTCTTTCTTCTTGACCTATGTAGTTGCTGTGTAAATCTATAAGACCCATAGTATATTACGCTACAGTTTGGAGTGCTAACTAAAAGAATGGCAAATTCCTTAAAGCCGTAGTTCGCAACATTTCTTAAATGAGGAGAGAAAGAGAGGAGATTCTGAAGACTAATCACTTTAGCTTCCGCCCCTGCTCCCCCTCCCCTCCTGAAGGAGCTGAAAGACCTGCCTCCTATTAACACGTGAAGGGTTGGTGATGTGAATAGAGAACATAATGGGATTGACCCAAAAAATAAAGACAATAGGGCAATGTAGCGCTAGGTGGAACGGTTTACTCTGAGGTGGACTTAAGTGCTCATTTGTGTACTTGAGATCTAGAGATGGATAGGTGCGCAGTCTGTAGTCCTGGATAGGCTTATGAGCCATTGTCTTAGAATGTCGTCAAAATGTCAAAGAAGCAAGCTCAGTTATGCAATTAGGCTACTTTGTTGTTCCTCCACCCCCAGGAAAAATGCTGAGTCCGACCGCAAAAGAAGCGCATGTTCTTATAAAAGTGTTTGCAGAAGGTGAGCTGGCTTCAAACGAACGATGAACGTACAGAGATGTGGTGCAGAGAATGCTGTAAAAATCCCACTCTGGCGAGCAAAAACAACAAAACATATATATTTTATACAGGTACTAAAAACCTGTATAAAAGAGAATCTAACTATTGTTGAACGAAAAGATGAGCTCATTGTTGCTGTTGGACAGTTGACTCTACTGGTAGAGAGTGAGGGCAGGTACAAGAAAGAGACTAGGTCATATGCTGATGATGAAAAGGACAAGATTGATATATTGAGAGCTCTAATTCATTAGTTTGAATGCAGATATCCCTTAAATCATGTGATCATGTGCTTTTGATTTGTGATTCCACAACTTGGCCCCTTGAAATTAAAGTTCTTTACAGTTTTGGCAACACAACTCTCAGTAACATCCTTGAGAAGCATGAGGCCAACATGAATGGTGATGGAGTCTCTACTTTAAGAGAGTGAATGCATTTAAAGCAAGCTGAAAAATATTTGGTAGCCTCCTCTGTGCACGACCTGGTGAATGTAGTGAAGACAAGCAAACCTGACACTTATTCCAATATTCAGAAGGTCCTTATCTTGTCCTGTACACTGTCTTTGAGCAGTCCTGTGAAAGACGATTTTCACATTTGAATATCTTCAAAAACAAGTACAGATCCTGCCTATCGGACTCTCGCCTCTCGTCTCTAATGCACATCTGTTGTCCAAGTTCACCACGGAGACATTTGACCCAAATCCAGCTGTTGACTCATGGATCCAGACAGCTAATTTCAGGCTAAACCAGGGAGAAAGGAGTAGGCCTGGAACATCCACATCCTTTGCTGTTTGTGAAATAGAGGAAGACAGCCAGAAAGAGAGTCAGGATGGTGACGATGGCATTCTGTAGGATAACAGAAGCTTCATTGTTTTAAAATAGTTAAATAAATAAATATCTGTCATTTCATTTGGTTCATTTGGTAAAAAATGTGTTTAAAAATGTGAGGAACAAGCAACAACCCTAGGTTCTTCCCTGAGAACAAGACCAAAAATGTTATGTGCACCCCTGACTATACTAATCACATAGTCTACATTACATAAGGGGTAAGATAAATCCCCTTTCATTAACCTCCCTCCTCATCCAAAGTTAGCTTGAAGTTCACAGACAGACCTTACATGTAATGTAGGTCTAGGCCTTGTGGATTGCGAAGCTTCTTCCATCTTTAAAAAGCATCTCCAATGTAAATTCCACTCAAACGTTGTAAACGTCTCACGGACGTTTTGTAGAAGGATTTTAACACGGTCTAAATTTTCATTGAGAAGTAGAAAGTAGGCAAGGAATTGGTAACTTGGTCCTTGTTTTGGTTGCTCTATTGCGCACCTCCCAGTTGATTGAGGCACGTGGCCGCTTTCATGCACACTGCTCCACATGATTGACACCTCCCCTCAGACAAATACACAAGTCTTTTGGTCAAAGTTGTAGGCGTGTGTCTTGCATTTGTTTAGCTGTAGAGGCCTTGGGAGAGACTACAGTAAAATAATAATTATCACAGATTACCGACAGTCAGATAGTCAAATTTAAGCATGTCTTAAATCATTTTAACAATTAAAAGGTATGGTCTACAGCTTTAAGTCATTGTGCTGTCTTGGATTTATCCTATTCTATTCCAAAGCATATTTTTAGGTTTTAAGTGTTTGTGCACATGACTGTGCTGAGTTATTAGTCCAGCCCTGCAGCGTTGCTGCTATATGTGTGTTTAAGCTACATTAGAGCAGAGTTACAGCAGCTCTCCAATTTTCCCCACTACATTAACTTCCCCTTCATCCTTAAATTTGTCCCCACATGGCTGGCACAGTACAGCGTCCAGGGAAAAGAGATCTGTTTTGTACTATGCCCCCCTCCCACACTTTCTTTTTCCTCTTTTACCCAGACGGCCATTGGGTGGGGTGTTGGGGGGGCAAAAGGAGCAAGAGTACCGGGTGGGGGTGAAGGGGAGTGGGGTGCTTGACAAACGGGCTGTGAGCAGCGAATCGAGAAGGACGCAGATGTCAAAGCCATGAATCTATTGACGCCTGCATAGTCTACCCTTGCTCATTTTTTCGTCTTTCTGCACAGCACACCCTTGTTTGGCGGTCAGTTTCTTCCCTTGGCAGTCTTACAGACAGACCTGTCCTCATTCTGGCCATTCAGCACCTCTACCTTCACCTGATACACATAATTACTCACATCTGTTGTCAGAAAAACATAAGCTGGCAAATCTTCTGTTTGCATGTGTATATAAGAGAGTCAGTAAGCATGGTGATACTACGGATACTACGACCCTGGACAAGTCGCCAGTCCATTGCAGGGCAACACAGACACACACAGGACAAACAACCATGCACACATTCACTCACGCCTAAGGGCAATTTAGAGAAACCAATCAACCTAACAGTCATATTTTTGGACTGTGGGAGGAAGCCGGAGCACCCTTAGAGAACCCACGCAAGCACGGGGAGAACATGCAAAGTCCATGCAGAAAGACCCCTGGCCGGGAGTTGAACCCAGTCGAACCTTCTTGCTGCAAGGCCACAGTGCTACCAACTGTACCACCATGCAGCCACAGCCAGATGTGTCAACTGTTATTTTTGGCTGTTCGCACATTACCTGGAATAAAAAAAAAAATATGCTACTTCGATGGTTTATATTTTTAAATCTTTAAAGCTTTCCAAATGTTTCAAATATGATAGGCATCATAGGTATTCAGACAATGCTTCTTTCAAACAAAGTACTTCAGGGTCACAATGTCAGTATTTCGAGACTAGTTAAATGTGTGCAAAACAAAACAACACCACAGATTGATCCTTCCTCTTAGTGTATTTTTTTTTATGAATTACAGAGGACCGTCACTTTTATATAGATTCAGAATTTCACTGATCTTTTTAAAATTTAGTTTTTTGTACTTTTGGAACGTTAGGACATGCAATATTGTTATTACATGAATGACAATCCAAGTGTTCATTGAACAACATTTCCTCGTTTACCTCCCACCCCAACTTAGTCCCCATCATGATGATCTCAGTGTCTAATATTTTATTCAGGTGTAAGCAGTGAAAGTTCATCAGGCAGGACAAATTATTTACTGCTGACCCTTAGACTGTGAATGCATGGCCCCAGAAATATGACAAAATCCAAGTCGTTGCGTTTATGCATACACTCACTGCTCGTTAACGCAAATTTCTAATCAGCCAATCACATGGCAGCAACTCAATGCATTTAGGCATGTAGACATGGTCAAGACGATCTGCTGCAGTTCAAACCGAGCATCAGAATGGGAAAGAAGTGACTCTGAATGTGGCATCGTTGTTGGTGCCAGACGGGCTGGTCTGAGTATTTCAGAAACTGCTGATCTACTTGGATTTTTACGCACTACCATCTCTAGGGTTTACAGAGAATGGTCCGAAAAAGAGAAAGTATCCAGTGAGTGGTTCAGTTCTGTGGGCACAAATGCCTTGTTGATGCCAGAGGTCAGAGGAGAATGGCCAGACTGGTTCGAGCTGATAGAAAGGCAACAGTTACTCAAATAACCACTCGTTACAACCAAGTCATGCAGAAGAGCATCTCTGAACGCACAACACGTCGAACCTTGAGGCGGATGGGCTACAGCAGCAGAAGACCACACTGGGTGCCACTCCTGTCAGCTAAGAAC